ATTGGCCCAATTTCAACACTGTTGTGTCTCAGCAAATAGGGAGGCTTGAGGAAAAGAAGAGAGACAGGGGACTAGCCAGTCAGTGGATTAGTCAGAATACACACATTTATCTATTAAGTTTGCTGTCTTATATAGTCACCATTCTTGGCACCCCCAAACAACTCTAATAGGAACATCAAAGACACTGGTTACCTGGCCATAACAGATGTAATAATAATGAAAAAGTTAAAAATATTGCAAGAATTACCAAACTATGACACAAAGACATAAAGTCAGCACATGCAGTTGAAAAAATGACACCGACAGAGTTTCTCGACAGAGGGGTTGCCACAAACCTTCAATTTGTAAAAAAACACACACACAATATTTGTGAAGCACAGTAAAGCAACAGGCAATAAAACAGGTTATGCCTGCATCTAGTTTCTCCAGTTCCTAAGCCTCTCTCCAGTGTTGTCACATTAGATTTTCTCCATAATGGATCCTCCCATCCCTAATCCTCATAGGCGTTAAATTTCAATATTCCACAGTCTGATAAGTCAGTTATCTCTTAGATATTTGCTTTCCATTTTTCTAAGCTTTGGTCAGCATCTTTTTTATTGAGTGCTAACTCCTCTCCTGTTCTCTTTGTCCTAATGGATTTAATCACTTTTTATTAATTTATTGCCATTTGGAATGAAATGGAGATAAAAGAACATTATTTTCTATTTTTGAGTGTCACTTATTTTCATTGTATGATTACAAGAACTGTAGAATTTAAAACTTCTGCTCTTTTTGCTCCCTTATGTGTGGTCTTAAAACAACAAAAATATTGAACTGTCTGTACTGATTTTTCTTTAGTGACTGTGAGCTGTTTATTTGAATTTACCACATTCTTCCTCTGGATCACAACAAGGTCCCTAACAGTGGGGTCACACTGTCTTGACTATATCCACATGGAACCAGCAGGAAGGAAAACAGGCATCAGGAGGCACATGATCTATTTTGGCTTGGTTTTATTGATAACATATTAATTCTCTCTCTCTTTCTCTCTTTCCCTCCCTCCCTTCCTCCCTCCTTTCTTTCGAATCTTTTAGTTTATCTTTTCAGGGATTCTTTGTTCATATTTACATTTCAAGCACAGTTTTATTTTCCATTTTCTCCCTGTTTAATGACCTGCACCCTTTGTTGCTCTGCTTTGTGACCCTTGCTATTTCTGAGGATGCTCTCCAATAATTCCTGCTCCACTTAGGAAGGCCCATTTTGCCCTTCAGAGGCTTTGGTTTTCCTCTTATCCTTGAGAACTTTCTTCATACAATTAAAAACAAAGTCCATCCATTATTTGGTCTCTTGAAAGAGAATGGGGCTTTCCTCCTCTTAATTAGCCTCCTCATTAGACCATTAATTTATTTTTATTCTAACAGGAATTTGTTTTCCACTTAAATGCAGCTTTGTTTCTCCAGAATCTGAGAAATTTCAAGTGTCTGGAATGCATGATCAAAAAAAGTGGTGCTTTTCACTTTACGTGCTATGGCCTCTATTCTTTCTGGCTCATAAATTATATCCCTTTTATTGGCTTGTTTCCTATTTTTATAAGCATATTTTGGACTCTGGCATGCTTAGCCAGAGAAGCAGCCTTAATTATTTACCCTTACAGTTCAGTTCTAATTAGTTAACTTTGAGGTGATATTTTGGTAACTTCTAGTGGAAAATCTAGTCTATCCTCCCTGCTCCCACAAAAGGAGATTGTCCCCCTAAGTATACCCTTACGTGGTTTCTTTACTTTTGGGATGATCCTTTTATCCTCTCTAGCAATGATCTATGATCATTCACATACCAACTCAATGTCTTATGTCTTTTAGTCCACACTTTTAAAAAAAGATTTATTCCTAAGTGTCTTCTTTTAACAACTAATGAGCAGGAAGAGTTCCAAATGCAGCTCCTTTTGCCTGATGAAGAAATCCACCCTTCACTTAAAGTTTATATTCTCTTCCTAAAATCACCTCCAGAAGCCCTGTGATTGGAAGCCTTTAAAGTGTCCCTTAATGATCCTTATCCTCCTGACATTCACATCTTTGTGCAATGACTTCACCTTGAGTATGGGTTGGACTTATTGATTAATATGTAATGAATGGAATAAAGCAGAAGCACTGGGATGTCTCTTCTGGGATTAGGTTGAAAAAAGACTGTGGCTTCTGTCTTGGCACCTTCTCTCTCATTTTCACTCACTTGCTTGCCCTGAGGAAAGTCAGCTGACACACTGAGCTGTTCTACAGAGAGGTCCACATGGGAGAAACTGAGGGAAGCCTCTGGCCAAATGCATCCTGCCAACAACCATATAAGTAAGCCTGAAAGCCAATCGCATCCTAATTGAGCCTCTAGATGAGGCTGCAGCCCAGTGGACACCCTGACACAAACCTCAGGAGAGAACTTGAGCCTCTAACCCGGAGACCCATAGAAGTTATGAGATAAAAAATGTTTGTTGTTTGAAATTGCTAAACTTGGGGATAATTTGTCAGGTAGAAATAGATTACTTATACAGGCTCATAAGGCAAATATTCCAACTTTTAAGTCTATGTTTTTTATATGGTAAATTTGTTTAAATCATTCTTTCCTTTGGATTTTAATTTAATTACTCATGCAAAATTTTCTTTAAATTCTTCTTTGAGAGCAGCAAATGGCAGTTGTCAGTCTTATTCATAATTACAACACCAATACCTACCTAACATGTGCCTGGCACCCAGATAGATGCTGTTATGGGGTATAGAAGTTTGTTACCTCCAAATCTCATGTCGAAATGTAATCCTCAATGTTGGAGGTGAGGTCTAGTGGGAGGTGTTTGAATCATGGCAGCAGATCCCTCATGAATGGCTTAGCATCATCCCCTTGTTGATGAATTAGTTCTTGCTGTATTAGTTCATGCAAGATCTAGTTGTTTACAAGAATGTGGCACTTCCCCACTCCTCTCTTGCTCATCATGTGATCCACTGGCTTCTCCTTAGTTCATGCAAGATCTAGTTGTTTAAAAGAATGTGGCACTTCCCCACTCCTCTCTCGCTCACCATGTGATCCACTGGCTTCTCTTACACCTTTCGCCATGACTGTAAGCTTCCTAACGTCCTCACCAGAAATAGAGGCAGGCATTATGCTTCCTGTTCAGCCTGCAGAACGATGAGCCAACTACACCTCTTTTCTTTATAAATTACCAAGTCTCATATATTACTTTATAGTAAAGCAACAACAGAGTAACACAGATGCTAATATACGTTTACTGAATTTGACCCTTCTGTCTTTTTCTACTTGTCCTAGTTTATAAGTTACTCCTCATTCTCTATATTGTCACTTCTTTTGTGATTGCAGAGTTAGAAAACCTGCCAGTCGAGTTGCCTCAAACCTTTCTGTCCTTTACCCTGCTTCTCTCCTCTAGAGATTCACTACTGCTGTCTCATTTGAGGCAAATCAGTATCACCTCTTTCTCAGGGTTTCTCCAATGGAGCTGAGTCCACACTTGCTCTCTCATCTTACTCCTGCCTGAACTGGGGGTACTGCTTCCTTTATTGGGAGGACAGTGCTGCTGCATAACAAGAGACACTTTTTGTCTTAATTATAATACTAAAAGAAAATTGAGGCCTGGAGATGTTAACTGCCAAGTCTGTGGTTACTGTGAAATATAGAAGCAGAATAATAACTAGGTTTCTCAAAAGAGGAAACATCATATCATAGAGATTCAAATTTGAATCTTAGCTCCACCAAGCTGCCTGACCTTATGGAAAATATTCAGCCTTCTTCAGTCACTTCCTCATTTGTAACATGTAAATAATTTCTACTTATAGAGTTGTCTTAGGCATTAATCTTGACTTAGTATTCTGTCTATTCCATATTTTATCTTATATTTATAACTTCTTTCTAATAGGTTCACTGCATAATTACAATGATGACATAAACTCTATTTGGCTGATAATTTAAATATAGCAAGAACATGGCATATTTAGTTGTTAATAATCTTGTATTAGCACTTTCCTTTTATGTCTTTATTAATGCCAATAAAACCAACAAAAATATTACTTCTTACCAACATTCAGAATCTTCCTTCATTTGCTATACTGTCATCAAAGGGATCAAATATTATAATATGATATGATATTGGTGATTAGAAAACAGATGAATTGTTCCACTATTTCTAAACTGCTTAGTTTTCAAATCAAAATGAGTCTTTCAGTTTGAATGAAAAACATCACTGAAATAATCATGCATACATAAGAAAGAAAACTGACACATGTATATTAAGTTTACATTGACAAGAAGGTAAAAACCTAAGGTAAAACTGTATTTAAAAGACATAGTCTACTTGTTTATAAATGTAAGCAGCAAGTGCTCTAAAAGTTTCTTTGGCAAAGATTTTTTTTTTTTTTTTTTTTTTGAGACGGAGTTTCGCTCTTGTTACCCAGGCTGGAGTGCAATGGCACGATCTCGGCTCACCGCAACCTCCGCCTCCTGGGTTCAGGCAATTCTCCTGCCTCAGCCTCCTGAGTAGCTGGGATTATAGGCACGCGCCACCATGCCCAGCTAATTTTTTGTATTTTTAGTAGAGACGGGGTTTCACCATGTTGACCAGGTTGGTCTCGATCTCTCGACCTTGTGATCCACCCGCCTCGGCCTCCCAAAGTGCTGGGATTACAGGCTTGAGCCACCGCGCCCGGCCCCTCTTTGGCAAAGATTTAATGTTAAAACAAATAAGACATAAATACATAAAGATTCCTAGTCTTAGAGGTTTAAGATAGTTATTTGCAACAAAGAACTGGGTGCTTTAGAGATGATGTAGTTTAAGGGAAAGCAAGGTCTGGAGAAGATAAATGACTGCCTGGAGTTAAGGACAGAACACCAGGATGTGATTTCAGGTCAGACTAACAGTCCAGGACAGGACGCTTTCCATGAAACTAAGCTGCCTTTCACGTTTTTGTTTGTTTGTTGAAAGAACATGTGCTCTTTGATTAATTGCAAAGGTACCACCATCTGCTTCCTACCTCTTCCTGGGACTGGTTAAATTGCTCTATCAGTTGTGTTTGAGCCAGCATTACTCTTTCCAGTTCATCTGACTTCTGTTTCATTTCCTTCCTCAAGTCTTCTGAAACTGAATCATTACTGTCAATTTCCTTCTTCAAGCGAGATTCAAATTCTGCAACCAAATTTTTCAGGTTTTCAATTTCTTTTTCCTTTGACTCAGATTCTTCAGTGTACTGAATGTGGGACTCATGAAGTTTTTCTTGAAGAGTGGTCACTTCCTGCCTTAGATCTCTTGTAGCGCCTGTGATTAAGTCAGATATCTGTAAGATAAATCTCATATTAGCTTATAGGCAATAGTTTCTAGGTTACCATAGAATTCTTACGGTTTTTAAGAGGTTTATTCTCATTAATCAGTGTACTTGCTTGATCAGATGAAAACAAATCCATGACATGCAGGCCTTCAAGATTTTCTTTTTAAAAGTTAAGACTAAAACATTTATTTTTCTACTTAAAATAGTATCCCATTAATCACTTGGGCACTCTTGGAAATAAATAAATTTCTGTGACTATATTAAGTCGCAAAGGATAGCACAAGTCTTTTTTGTTTTTTTTTTTGAGACAGGGTCTTGCTCTGTTGCCCAGGCTGGAGCCCAGTGGTATAGCAGTACAATCATGGCTCTCAGCAGTTTTGACCTCCTGGGCTCAAATGATCCTCCCACCTCAGGCTCTCCAGTAGCTGGATCACAGACTCATGCCACCACACCTGGCTAATTTTTTATTTTTTGTAGAGATGGTATCTCTCGATGTTGCCCAGGCTGGTCTTAAACTCCTGGGCTCAAGTAATCTTCCTGCCACAGCCTCCCAAAGTACTGGGATTGCAGGTGTAAGCCACTGTGCCCAGCCCCAGCTCAAGTCCTGGCAAGTAGATCAGGGACTGTCTGGACCTAATTAGGTTGGCTTTGGGATCTCAAAATGCCTGATTTTGGGGGAATGCAAGGAGGAGAGCACTAGAGTTATACTCTACTCAAGTTTTCCTTTGACATTATTTTTTTTTTCTTGTATATAATGGCTGGAGGAACTCTAGACACTATGCCTTCTAGAACAGTACTGTCCAACAGAACTTTCTGTGGCAAAATATTCTATGCTATCCAATATGGCAGCCACAAGCCACACGTGGCTACTGACAGTATATATACTGACAGCATGTGGCATGCTGGTAAATGTTTACCAACTGACTTTCAAAAAAAAAGCAAGATTTGTAACTAATTTCCATTGTGTAAATACTCTAACCATAGCTCTCAAAAAACAGTATTGACTCTTGAGCACCTGATATATGACTAATGTGACTGAGGAACTGATTTTAAGTTTTATTTAATTTTAATTAATTTAGTGGAAACTTTTGTAGCCACATATGACTACCATGATGAACATCACAGTTGTAGAAAACACCTGAATACCCTGAAAATGTACTGCCTCTCAAGGTGGTACCTCTGGATAAATGAAAGAGAGAATAACTTGGAGAAGCTTTAGAAGGGAAAAGACTACTTGTTTTCTTTCTGCTTAAAAAACAAAACAATGAAACAGGGAAGAGCAGAGCTGCTTCTAATGAAATATATCCTTATTACTTATGCTGCAATTATTGTCATGTTATAAATATTAGCACAACAAGAAACGAGCCCACGAAGAATCTGGAAAACATTCATAGACCAAGGTTCCAAGGACTTTGTGAACTATTACATAAAGAGAGTTACGTATCCACAATTTGTTTCAAATGTTAAATTTACAGAAAGACTAACTTGTGTTAGAAATCTCTTCACCAAAATTCATAATTTTATAAATTAATATTTTATCATCTTTAATTAATTCAGGAGGGAAGAATGTCACTGTCAGGTCTGCACAATTGTTTCCATCACCCAGAGGATTGCTGACACTGAAATAAAGCAAGTTATCCTTGGGAGAGGAGGTTCACATAACCACAAATAATTTTTATTTTTTTAAGGCAGTCGACATTTAAAAATCAGGAGGTTTCACTCACAAAATGTGGATTTATGACTTCTCTTGAGAAACTGTAACATCTGGCAAGTTCCAGCCTGCCTGCCTGCATTTTCCTGCTGATGTGATCCTGAGCCACCCAGGGCTGCAACAGCAGTCAGAGGGAAAGAAGGCAGAAAGGCAGAGACTCAGTGGAGCCTGGAGCATGAGGATCCAGCAAACAAGAGGTAAGAACCCTCTAGGGGAGGCAGAACCTTGCGGGGAGCCAAGGCTCTAAGTTTATGGCAAGTGCTCCATTGTTCCAATAAAATTTCACTTAATAAAACACAAATTCAAAGATAAAAATCACTAAGAATTTCTGTTTTCTTTTACAGAAGGGGTCTCATTCTGTTGCCCAGTCTGGAGTGCAGTGGTGTGATAATAGCTCACAGAAGCCTTCAACTCCTGGATTCAAGTAAACCTCCTGTGTCAGCCTTCCAAGTAGTCATGACTACAGGTATGAACCATCACACTAGGCCAATTAATTTTTTTTTTTTAAATAGAGACAGAGTCTTGCTATGTTGCCCAGGCTGGTCTTGAATGTCTGGCTTCAAGTGATCCTCTTGCTTGGGCTTCTCAACATGCTAAGATTATAGGCATGAGCCACCATGCCTGGCTAGCTTATTAAGAATTTCAAGGCAGTATCTGCAGAGCATGAAATCCAAAGCATGAGGCCTTTCTGAGTGTGGGACCATGTGCTATTGCACTGGTTGTACACATACAGCTGGTGCTGCCTATTGTTTACAATGGAATACTGAAATAGATGTACCACACCTCCTGTATAGAAATATAGAGGCCATTAGGTCTTGTCTGATGCTTAATTAACACAAACTCTTAATGCATTTATTCAAAATGTTATTTCCCCACTATGTCTTGATTAATACACACACACATACACACACACATATATACTTTACACTCAAGTCCTATAAAAACAGAAAAATCTTAACAAGACCTTTTATACTTAGAACATACTGTTTAAGGAATTTAGGGAGGTGTGATAACATTTTAAAAATATTTCTCTGCATTCAGAAATGTTGAGAATGAAAAATATTTGTAATTAAAAGCTTTAGTTGTTGGGAAAATTTTAATTATGTAAAACACCTCATTATCTTTTAATGTTGGATATTTGAGGTGTTGAAATATCTAGCCATACTAATTTTTAGTCATATAATTTATGCTGTTTAAAAAATAAGTTTATTCCAGTAGAAAAAATTCATGTGTAGCAGGATTACATGCTTGTATAACTTAGTTATACAAGAATGGATAACTCAGTTATCCATTCTGGGGAATTAGCCAAATCACCTTACCTGCATGGCTAAAACCAAGACACAGTGATCGTGAGTGAAAGGCACTGGAGTTATAAATACCATAGTGTTCTAAGGAGGAAATAAACAACAGCTTCAGTTTCAAATCTATTAAATAATGATAAATGTCATAATTACAGACCTTCATTTGTAATTCCTCTTGTTCTTTCTTATACTTTTGGATTATATCTTGATGTTTTTCTTTTTCAATATCAAGTTTCAGTTTTGCTTCTTCCTTAAAGAGAAGAGCTTGCTCTTCAAATTCAACCAAGTGTTGGGCCCTTTCCTTGGCAAGTTCTGCTTCAATCTAAAAATGGCATTTAAAACCATTTTACCTTAAAATAAGTACATTAAGCTTATTTTCAAGCTCTAAGTTTTAAAATGTTCTGACATTAAATTTTTAATTAAACTACTTTTAAAATTCTAGTTAAAAAAAAACGTGACTTAGAACTTGGGCCAGAAAAATTGACCTTGTGCCAAATATTTCAACACCTTCTAAGACCTGAAAAATTAGTAGAGAAGTTAGAACTACATGACAGTTTTCAGAAACACTAAAAGCTTAGTTATTTGCTCATTTATACCGTAAACTCAGTTCTTGCCAGCAACTCAGAAAATTTAACGTTTTTGTTTTTAAGCAGATTTTGAGGGCCTTAGACTAAAATCTGCTCAAATCTCAGAGGAAATACAAAGTACAAATGTTGATTTTTTCAAATGGCCCCTTCTTGATGGAGGTCATAGAAAGTTTTGGAATCAAAGATTGTCATTTTAATGTGACTAAAGTGGGAAGGATGATTAAAGGAAAAGAGTCAGTGATGCCCACACAGATGGTTTCCAACTTACAATGGTTCAACTTATGATTTTTTGACTTTATGATGGTGTGAAAGCAATATGCATTTTCAGTAGAGACTGTACTTCAAATTTTGAATTCTGATATTTTCCTGGGCCATTGATACACAGTATGATACTTTCTTGGAATGTCAGGCAGTGCCAGTGGGCCACAGGTCCCAGTCAGCCATGTGATCATGAGGACAAACAACTGATCCTCTACACTGTATGTACTGTGTTGCCAGTGTTTTTAGATACTGTGTTTTCACATTCTTCATGTTTACCATGTCTACAGAGCATCCATTTTTGACTTACAATACCTTCAATTTATGATGGGTTTATCAGGATGTAACCCCACTGAAAGGTGAAGAACATTTGTATCCATATTTTTTTTTTATTTAGATTTTTTTAATAGATATTATTTTTTAGAATAGTTTTAGACTTACAGAAAAATTGAGCGGATAGAGGGAAATTCCATATACAACACTACTCCTACCCTAACAGATTTTCCTCTATTATTAACATCTTACATTAGTATAATACATTTGTTATAAGTAATGAGCAAGTATTGATACATTATTAATTGAAGTTCATGGTTTATTCAGATTGCCTTAGTTTTTAATCTATTTTTTTAAATGACAATGTAAGAATACCATTTATTTCATTGATAATGGCTTCCCCATAATTTAAACCTATCAAACACCTTGTCTCCACATGTATCCATATTTTGACTCAGATAGAATCATAATGCTAGAAGGGACTTTAGAAATCCCCTAATTCAATTTCTCATGTTTCTATGAATTGTAGAAAGAATAAGCAAGGACTCTGGATGTAGATGGAGTTGAGTTTAAATCCTGGCTCTTAATCCTGGCTCTGCTACTTGCTAACTGAATGATCTTAAGTTTGTGTCTGTAACCCTTCCTTTTAGGATTATAACTAGATCCCTTAGGGGTTGTTATGAGGATTAAAGGAGGCAAAGCTTTTGTGTAAAGCTCTAACACAAGTAGGAATTTAATAGTGGAGATTACTTCCACACCCTGACCCTTCAGTCTCTACTACTGACTCCATACTAAATGAGTGGTTGCTGGGTGCCTCACACCTCCAGAAACCATAATTCACTCCTTCCCCAGAAGGCATTTCCATTTTCAGACTCTACTAAGCATTAGGCACTTTTTCCTGCAGTTGAGCCAACATCTCTCTCCATGTGGTTTTAAACCATTGGTTTTGGCTCTACCTACCGAAACAAGAAAGAGAACAAATCTGTGAGTACAAATTTACTCCTGGGAGTTCAGAAATTAAAGAAGGGAATCCCGGAGACAGGCTGGCTCTAGGTTTACATTGTGCCATGATAATAAACTCTAAAAGAGGGTAACGCCAGGTAAATTGGGAGAGAAACTCACAACTAATTGTGGCTGTGATTTAGGCCAACAAGACAAGGAAAGAGATCAACCTAAATTTCTCAAGGGAACAAGGAAGCCAGGGTACAAAGACACAAATTTTGCTGAGAAAGTTACAGAAAGCCCTTTACATTAAATAAAATACTAGATGGAAGACTAGCCGCAGTGTGGGGTCAACAGATTTTATTGTACTGTATATAGGTCTGAGCATTTACCTGAAGACAAAGTAATTATGTTTATACAGTATTGAATGCAAGGAGTTATTCTGGCTCTTTCAAAATAAACTTCTGGATTGTTTGGATATTAGGGTACTGATGATCTTTTCTCAACATTATAGAATTATTCAGATGGGCTGCTCTCAGACTGCTGAAGACAAAGAAAATCTCCGAGGTCCTCAGAAAAAAGAAGACATTCTTCTGAATTTCAGGTACTTAAATCCACTTTGCCTTCTGGTAGCCATTTAGACAATTCACAGGTGCCTCCAGTGAATTGCATGGCCTAGAAATCTTGTAACAACTCCCTTCCCAAAGCCTGTTTCTCCCCCTTATTTCAGGATACAGCTCTACTAACCATCTAGTCACTCAAGTCAGTAGCTGAAACACCATGTTTCACACCTCTCTCACTTATTCTCCCCACCCATTCCAACACAAAATCCTGTTCGTTTTACCTTCAAAAGATGCTTTGCATCCATTTCTCTATGTCTCAACTTCCATCAGCACTTATCACCTAGTTCTGGCCACCATCACTTCCTGACTGGCCTCCTTACTTTCACTCCTGCTTCTCTCTACTGCATGCTACTACACACAGCACGGTATTCTTTACAAAATATGAATTAAGGGCTGGGCGCGGTGGCTCACGCCTGTAATCCCAGCACTTTGGGAGGCTGAGACAGGCAGATCAACAAATCAAGGTCAACAAATAGAGACTATCCTGGCCTACGTGGTGAAACCCCGTCTCTACTAAAAATACAAAAAAATTAGCAGGGCACGGTGGCGTGCGCCTGTAGTCCCAGCTACTTGGGAGGCTGAGGCAGGAGAATTGCTTGAACCCAGAAGGCGGAGGTTGCAGTGAGCCAAGGTCACGCCACTGCACTCTAGTCTGGTGCCTGGTGATGGAGTGAGACTCTGTCTCAAAAAGAAAAAAATATATATATTAATTAGATTCTTTTATTCCTTCTTCGAAGTTTCTCAATGCATTGATATATCAAAACTTCTCTATATGATCTTTCACTGGGCCACTACCAGCCCATATAACACATTTGTGTAAACTGACAAAGCACCCCTTCCTTAGATGAGAACAGTCTCATGCCAGGCATAGGACTTGATGAGCAGAGAACAGGCTGGATTCCAGCTCCCTTTGCTGCCTTGGCCTGGTGCAGGATGCAACTTAAATACTGTATATGGTGGCAGTCCTGGATTCCTCCAATCTGACTTCCACTACTTTTCTTATTTGATCACTGTGTCTCAGCCACACTGGCACAGACAAGTCAAGAATATATGAAAGGAGAAATCAAATGCAAAAACATTTGGAAAAGTTGGAAGGTATAATATTAATATATGTTAATAAATAACATTCAATTGTTAATTAATAATTAATAATAATCACATAGTTAATTGTTAATAGTAATTAATATTAAGTGACTAATATAAGCATTAACAGTTCTCAAGATGCTCTAACACTATTTATTAATTTAAAAAAGCGACAAACTTTTCTGAGAACTCAAGAAAAATTTGTGTTGAGGTGCTAAGATAGCAAGTATTTTAAAAAATCTTGTGTGGTGAATTAGTAGAGCCCAATAACTATTTTAGGAAAAAAATGACATCTTTCCAAATATGGATTGATTGCTCACATTAAGCCAGTGAGAATATATACAAACTTGGTAGAACATGACAAACTATAAATTAGATGACAGAAGGACTTTAGAAGAATCTTTTTAAAAAGTTTTCAAAAATTATTATGGAGACAAAGTCAATTAGGAAATCAGCAGGTTCCCTTTGATGAAGTTGAAACAAAGCATTCAGGGAAGAAAAGGTGATGGCTGATGGCTTGAATGAGCTGAATGTTCTGTTTTAACAGAGTTAGAAAGCAAAGTCTTCTTGCCCCTGAACTATTCCTACTATAGGTAAAAAGAGAAAACAAGGAAGGAATATATGGACAGTGGGAGACAAACAGCACTGCAGACAGAAGGGAGAAGGATGATTGACTATTACTAGCTTGGTTTTTAATTTGCACAATCTGAGAAAGGGAAGCAAACTGACGAGCTTCACATGGGATTTCAAACATTTAGGAAAGCTGGAATGGGATGGTAAGAACCATCTGAATGTGCTGACGCCTTAGCTCCGAGAAATGAGATTACTGGTTCCTTCATGATCTGATTAGTTTGAACAAAATGATGGGCCCATAAACACAATGATTTGCCTAAGGAGTATATTATTTGGCTTTGAATAGATGCATTCATGCCAAAGTGTCATGTTTATGTTTTTAAATGTTGATAGGAGCTGATAATTTTAAATATCTTAGATGACAGGAGTTACGTTTGTGCAAAATAAATAAATTTGTTGATGGGGTGCATATAAAGCATGAGCCACTTTGTACAATAACTAATAGTAATTTTGATAAGGGGAAAATTATGATTTCTAAAAAAGCATGAATAATATTAACTTAAGAATTGTACAAAATAAAATCAATTATTATCTTTGTACACATCTCAGGTTTTAATTATTTGGAGTTTTTATTTATCTGTATCTTCTTCTAGCTCAAACTCCATCTCCTCGGTGAAGGCCTCCTGATGACTCCAGAGCATTCAGAGCACTGTTTTTAAATTTCTTTTGTATTTGTTGTTGAAATGCATAATTAGTATTTTATAAAATCTGTATCGATACCAATGTGTAAAATACTGTCTTTACACTATTTTCCAAGTGAGATCTTTGTGGTTGACTTTGTTATTATCATTTTCTAATTGCCCATGGAGCCAATCACCACATTATAATATGATCACTTACTACTCAATGATACCTTTAAAACCAATGGGAGTTTTAGATACCAAAGAAGGAATCAAATGATTTGTTTATATTTGATATGCATA